TCCAACCTAATAGCGATGGCCTCCAACCCTAATAGCGATGGCCTCCAACCTAATAGCGATGGCCTCCAACCCTAATAGCGATGGCCTCCAGCCCTATTAGGGATGGCCTCCAACCCTAATAGCGATGGCCTCCAACTTAATAGTGATGGCCTCCAACCCTAATAGCGATGGCCTCCAACCCTGATAGCGATGGCCTCCAACCTAATAGCGATGGCCTCCAACCCTAATAGCGATGGCCTCCAAAATAATAGCGATGGCCTCCAACCCTAATAGCGCTGGCCTAGCGATGGCCTCCAACCCTAATAGCGATGGCCTCCAACCTAATAGCGATGGCCTCCAACCTAATAGGGATGGCCTCCAACCCTAATAGCGATGGCCTCCAACCCTAATAGCGATGGCCTCCAACCCTAATAATAGCGATGGGCCTCCAACCTAATAGTGATGGTAATAGCGATGGCCTCCAACCTAATAGCGATGGCCTCCAACCCTAATAGCCATCGATGGCCTCCAACCTAATAGTGATGGCCTCCAACCTAGTAGTGATGACCTCCAACCTAGAAGCAAACTCGCTGAAAAGAATATGTCTTGGATGTGCCATGTTAGTATGTTAGGGTGCTGCATCATTGCCCATTTGCTGTAGGGGCTAGTTATGTACTTGGACTTTGAGGGCTGCTATCAGCACTGGCTCGAACATGACCCCTGAGATCCTGGAAAAGACGTTGAGCAGAAATTTGCCTCATACGTTAAGTGATGCAAGGTGCCAGCCAGCACTTCCACCATGTTCAGCTTCCCAGATCTCAGAGACATCCCATCTATTATACTCGCCCTACCCTTCGCCGTCGAAACAAGAACAGATCCCTGGCAGCATGCGGCAAAATGCATCCGCAGTCATGAGCACATCCAGCACGGATAGGTCAGCCCACCTTTTCATCGTCTCCACCGAGCAATGTCAGCTCCACCTCCAAACGATCCACAGGCCGACAGCCGCTCTTTGTTCGGTATATAGGTGGTGGGGGCGTCTCAGCTGGTGAACTGCCAGAACTCTAAAGTCTTTGGGGAGTTAATAGAAAGCCGTGCGCCAGCAATCGTTTTGAGTACCGGCTTTGGTTGTTTGCATCTTCACCAAACCGTATGCATGGAGCAAGTTGCTTGGTCCGGGTGAAGGAAGCTTTAAGATGGTGGATCTCTACGGCCCTAGGTCCTATAGACCGTTTTTGTATGCACTGCGGTGTGCACTACGGTACCGAGCAGCCGGCTCGCACCGTTCAGCACTCGCAGCGACCGCACCGTCGTCCGGGTGAGGCGATCGGACGGTTGAGGGCCGATCTCGATGGCGCCATGGGCGTGATGTGGCTTGGCAACCGGAGGAAGGAAGGGCAACCGGAGGGGGCGCGGTATGAGGGCCGATGTCACATCTTCCGCGACCCATCTAAGAAGCCGAGCAAAGCAAAGCATCTAAGAAGATTCAAGCGTTACTAAGATCCAGTGGCCGGGCCTTGAAGCTGTGCAATTTGAAGCATCTTGAGGCATTTTGTAGCATGTTTGAAGCTACTATTTGACCTATGATCGGGGGCAGGGGCGAGAACTTTCAACTATAATCAGCAAGTACATTGGAAGGATTTGAGCGAAACTGGCGCTATTTAGTTTCCATACATAGGTGTCCTTTGGAAGGCCTCAGACAAGTGGATGACCATATCAAAACATAATATAAGGTGAGAGAAAGCCACTAGCATCGACTATGGCATCTATCATGATACGTCCCGTTTTGCATTTGGTGGAAGCCATATATGGACTTTGGCTGGACACTGTCGGAAGATCCGCCCAGTGACCAACATGATAACACATATTTCCGCCCAGTGCTGTGTCTCCGCCCTGATGTTCGTGGTGATCGGTCAGAATGGCGATAGGAGACCCTAGTAGCTTCTTGTTGGGAGCCCCGTTCGTAGCGTCCGATCGCTCCGTTCGTAGCGAGGCCAGGAGCCCCAACTTCATAGCGGCCTCTTGTTTTTCCAAAGAGGCGATGCCTAGGAACTTGGAACATAAGTTTTTCCTGTCAAGCTCCACCACCCCTTTCCCTACTCGATTGACTGCGACTCGCAGTGGATCAGTGCGATCGCAGCTTCGATAGTGTCACCGGAAGCAGAAACGCGCAACGAGGCGGGACAATATGCGCAACATGGCAGAAAGGGATGTGCAACTACATGACCTTGAAGGCCAAAAAGGGATCGCTCTTTTGTGTTGTTTGTTTTTGTTTGTTTTACTGTTGTTTCAAGTTGCGGGTGGCAATTACGGAAAAGAGGCTTTGTTTCTCCAAGTCTTGCAGGCCTCCATCCAAGACCAGTCCGGAAACCTTGGAAAGTCATGCTGCATTCTGGAAGCCCAAATGTTCCGCTCATTCTATCCAACCGCAGAGAAAAGCCAGCTTCAGAAATATTTTGATCTTTGGCATGTCCAAATCTTTGGATCTCCAGCAAACCACCTGGCCAAGGGCAGCCTAGCTACCTAATTGCCAGGACAATTATAAGCCATTGCTGTGTCCTCATGTGTCGCCCCATACCACCTCTTGGATGCTCTTGGCTTGATTCATTTTTGAAACTATTTGCACACCATCGTGGCGATTCTCGGGCGAAGACGGCGTGGGAGGCAAAAGCAACTCGCTTCATGTGGTCGGATGGCCCGGAAATGGACGCTGTTCACAGAGAGTCGTGGTTCGGATGGCGGGGTCGGGCTCACGTCCATCCGATTGAAGACGAGGATGTCAACAGCATGGGTAGGCGCCATGAGGTTTGCACTTGAGATTTGAAGTCGTTTTGAGGCTCAAGAGAGTCATTGGAGGTTTGAGAATTTCCAGTGGAAGAGGGTCTGCAATCAAGCGCTTTGAGCCGTTGGCCTTATGTCTCCGCCCCAAGAAACCCACATTCCTGCACAGAGAGGTATTCCCTGCACCCCGTGTGAAGCCACAGCGGGGTCTCCCAAACCAGTTGGTACAAGAGAAACTCCTGTTCAACACTCTTGGACCAGGTCCTTCCTTGCTCTTGTTCCATGCGTTTCCAGAAGTACCATAGCAGAAGCACATTGTTGGTGTTTCTCTCCCTTCCTTGACCCATCTTAAACCGCCCGCGGTCTTCCCGGCTCATCCCGCGGTCGTCCAGGCATCGGGCACCTTCAGCGCACATGCTACACGCCTGCGGAAGGAGCAAGAGTGGCAAAGGCAGTCGTGAAAAAGACGCTGGGTGGTCAGTCTTTATGTGTGTTTGGAGACGATGAGGAGGTTCTTCGTTCTCTACTGTGGATGGGTTGCTTGCACCAGATGAATGAACTTGCACCGAACTTGCTCAGTTTGCTTGTGGCCTCAAGAAAGGCGAACAAAAAGGGGTCAGTTTGGAGGATTTTGGGACTGGGGACTTGGGTGGGTTCAAGTGATTACTGAGCGACCACAGACTTCGACTCGTTTGCGAGGTGTAAGACGCGGCTGGCCATCTTCTCTGTGATTGGCTTTCTGGCTACTTGGCGTGCATCGGAGGGCGCGCCAAACAGAACTGAAGGTACGGTTTGACCGTGAATATGCAGGAGATCTTCAATTCTTATGCTTTGATCTTGATCCCATTTGTTACTTGATGACTTGGCATACGGAGTCACTGCAGTCTCCACTTTCAACCATTTCCACCGCCATCCCACCTCTCGGACACCACGATCCGACAGCTCCCTTCCATTTTTTCACGTCTTGCTCGCTTGGTCCATCGGCATCATCGGCATCAGGTTTGGCTCCTCATCTTTTGGTTCATGGCCGATCACCGAGTCACCTTTCTACTCGTCAGCCCGGGGCTCGGGTAGCGATTGCCTTTTGGGGCTTCAACCGACACCGACAGAAGAAGAGCTTGGGTTGGACCGGGCGACCAGTTACCAGTTCGGTCGGATTTTGAGAATCTCAATCACCTAGAGGCCTAGAGGATGCTGAACATGTCTATACATCAGAACTGATTGGTGATTGGTTGCGTTAATATGTTGCAATTTACATCCACTCTTCAGTCAGCCACTCGCTCGGGTTCTTGGACCCTCGCTCGCCGTCCTCAGGTGCCGGGGTGCTGGTCTTGGCTGTGCCCATTTGTTGGTGTTCGATCAGGCAGATGACGCGTTTTCCGCAGTTGGGAATGGAAGACATCATATTATATAGATCCGTGTCATCCAGTACATCATTTAAGATCTTTTGAAGGGCTGGCTGCTTGGCGTAAGCGAGCGTAGGTGTCCATGATCCGTCAGGTTTTGATTCAATGACTTGGCCAGACACGTGCTTTGGGATTCAGTGGCCCAAAGAAGACAGTAGGTTGGAGGGCATCGCTCTTAGGTTTACTAGTAGCAAGAAGCTACTAGTAACAAGGGGCCCAAAGACACTGATTGCAGTTTGTGCGCCCAGGCGGTGGAGACAAATGGAGGACCAGGACAGCGAACAGCGAGCAGCGAGCGAGGACCTGGATGCGGATTGACAGAACCCAGACCATCCATGTATGAAATAGTTGCATGATATCATGTACCCCATTTGTGTCCCTGATGTGAGTAACTGTATTCCATACATGGATTCATGGATGGTTTGGGCAATGTCTTGAAGCACTGCACGACAGTGAACGTGTGAAAGCGTCACAAAACGTGCCAAAAGAACCGAAGAGTGATCATGTGTTCTACTGAGTTTTTACTTGTTGTTTTTTCTTCCACGCATTTCTCTTCCCCCTGGACGTTTACTGTATTATGATTGTGTAAGATTGTGGACATTGTGTTCCTGTGCTGCGTGTTTTTCACTATTGTCACTGTTGTTTTCTGGTGTATTTATTGTTACGTTTCTTGATTTGCTTCCTCCATTTGTTTGATGTTGAAGCTTCATTACCGTTAGACATCATCCTTTCATAGCCGTTCCCGCTTGGTTCAATTCATGTCACAAATCTAGTAATTACCAGTATATATTAATGAATATATTATATATTATATTAACTATAATATAACAAGTTATATCACATTATATTTATAATATACATATATATATATATATACATGTGCTAGTTAGCTAGTCTACTTGTTGTCTATAGACTATGGCTCCCCACTCCCCCCACTCCACGTCTCCCGGATGCGGTGTCGCGACACCGGCAAGTGCCCCGAGCCGTTTGGGAGCGACGGTGTTCGCCTTCCAACTTCAAGAGCCAAGTGAAACAGCACAGCCGTAGAGCGGTGGGGGGTTAGGCCGTAGAAGGAGGGAGGTAGCTGGTTCAACTAGCTAGATCTTTAGATTGATTTCGGATCTTTTTGGAGCGCCCCGAAGAGCGTGGAGGAATGCTTTTGACTTGGCCAGGCCAAGTTCTTGCTTCATGAACTGCTGGTTTCTTGGAGGATGGCATTGGATGTTCGAGCCGCTGAAGAACACCAGCGATCCCCCTGATTTAGACTCTTGATCATAGTACAACCCCTCAAGCCTGAAGAGGTTTTACAATCAATGTTTGGGTGTGGTTTATGAATCAAGAGTGTATACAAATATTGATCAAATGTGTATACATTAACCGCAGTTGAACTTGAACCAACCTCACCGACGCCTCAACCTCAACATCGCTTCACCTCAAAATGCATCCTTCTCAAAAATTGGGATCGCCCTGCTCTCCTGGTCCAGTCCCCTTGGTTTGTCCAATCAAACAACATTGTGTTCCGTTGCTTGTAGGTCAACAAAATGGCATAATTAGCCAAACAATTAGCCAAACAAGCGTTGAATACCAATTCCGTCGGCAATTCTGCGGGTTGGATTCACTCTTTGGAGCACTTGTCCCGCTGCGGTTGGTGTTTCGCTGGATCCACAGGAGGCTTTCCGGGATGTAGCCTGGAGCCCCAGTGTCCTGCGCACCAAGCATCAAACGACATGAAGCACCCGTTGTGTTAGCAACCTATGGGGTGTCTTAATCAATGTCCGTTGTCTTCTTAATCTTCTTACGTCTCAAAGATGATCAACGGACGGGTTTTGGGTTTAGGGATTTTGTCATATAGGTTCCTTTCTACTTGTTTTTTGTTGATATGTTTTTGTTTCGACAATGATCATGTATAGCTGGGCATGGCTTGGCGTTGATGTTTCGATTATTTGGTGCAGTTGATTCGATTTAACGGATACCAACCCCATGCCAAGTTGAAAATAACAGGTTTGGCTGAATCAACTGGATGGGTGTTTGTGTATGCCACCAGTGGTTCTGATGGATAGTAATCGTATGTAATCATGTTCAACCTGGAGTCCTTTGATGCTGATTTGTAAGTGGATGTCATTGAGTGGTCTGTGTCTTTTGGTGCCAAGCTATTTGACCATATTTCATGTCCGCCATTGTCTTTGGAAGAGTTCAAATATATAATCGGAGGGTATTTGCATTGTCAACCAGCTCAGCACTCACGCTCTCGGCTGGCCGACCAGCTATTTGTGATTATTTTTGTAAGATCAGAGTCCTTTCAAATCTTTCAATGAGTTTGCAAAACACGTGCCCTCAACCAAAAGTGTTTGATCAAGATGAATGCCCACCTCTCCAGAATCATGGGCTCGGCATGGCTTGGTGGGTGGAACCAGCCTTTTTTGCATTGGAAGCCTTTCTCAAAGGAGGTGTCCGCTGTCCTTCGAAGCCCGCGCGCAATCTACCTAACAAAAAGGTATTGGACACGAACGCCGGAAAGCACACGTTCGACCTGCAAAGACAAAGGGTGTTGGACTCGTTGTTGTTTATTTTTTTAGGTTTCCGGTCCTCAGGACTCGATCTGAATCAGAACGAGGCGCTCAGATGGCGCCGGTCACCGCGAGCCGAACGGCGTGAACCGGTGCGTTCGATCTGCTTCGTGACCTTCGTCGACACAGTTCGGTCCGTGGTGTCAGAAACCAGTCGAAGCGCTGGATGTGGAGCCCTTCCTGAGGAAACACGTCGAGCTCATGATGACTGTGAGTTCAGAGTAGATGGCACGGACCCCAATATGTCCTTTTGATGGGGCCTGGGGTGCCATACAAACCACGGAACTTGGGGATTGTGCCATCTACTCTGAAACCACTGTATATGTGCATTGATTCTACTCATGAGCGGGATGTTTGTGCTTGTAAGTAAGAACACATAGCAATAACATGCACAACCAAGACCAATCATATTGGCTAAGTCGCCCTTTCGCAGCAAAGTCTCAAATCGAACTAAGGTGTTAAGCTGAACTTGAGGTCCTACTTGCATAAATCGGCGAACTGGGATACTAATCCCTCCCTACAAGATCCAAGTGTTTAGCTATGATGAGGTCGCCGCCCAAACAAAGACCCCCCAAAGTACAGTGTTTAGCCACGGTCGGTTGACATAGCCCAGACCATCCATACACCCTGTTTATGACCCCATGACCCCAATGTAGGTAACATTGGGTAACCATTCCATGCATGGATGGTTTGGGTAGCTTCAATTTTTGGCTCCAACACTCCGACAAACATGGGCGATGTGCTCAAGCTCATCTATGGCGCGGCTTGTCCAAAGATCTTTAAAACGATGAACTCATGCCGTCCCCCACCGTGAACCGGCTGTGCCCTCTAATTCAAGGAAGAGGTGCCCTGGAACGCCCCAGGAACACATGCCTTTGGACTGAGACGTTGGGGCTAATTGAGTGGCTAATTGGTCAATTCGCTCTGACCCGAACGATGTTTTTTCTCAACCGAACAGCAAGGCCCGTCTGACGGGGGCGGCCACTGCGGACTTGTGGAGATGTTTTTCCCCACCCGTAGGACTGTGGGGTTGTTAGATTTTGAGAACTTGGGACTTCAGCACGCCCGGTAGCCCAACTTAGCTCTTCCACAACACACTGGCCAAAGTGGTCCCTGAGTAGCGCAACTTAGCTCTTCCATAGCACATTGGCCAAAGTGGCACAGCACACTCACCAAAGTGGTCCCTGAGTAGCCCAAAGTAGCTCT